GGTCTTTGTCTGCTCGAGCCATGGGCTGGGAGCTGGTGGCAGGAAAGGAGGGGGGACAGCAGGCAGGGATGTGGCAGGAGGGATGGGGGGTTCCCAGGACCCTGAGGGACTTTGGGATGCTCCAAAGTGGATGGGATGGCCAAGGTGGGTGGGGTGGGATGCCCCAAGGATGATGGGATGCTCCAGGATGCTCCAGGATGCTCCGAGGTGGATGCAGATGGGATGCTGAGGATGATGATGGATGCTCCGAGGACGATGGGATGCTCCAGGATGCCCCGAGGAGGATGCAGATGGGATGCTGAGGATGATGATGGATGTCCCAAGGATGATGGGATGCTCCAGGATGCTCTGAGGTGGATGCAGATGGGATGCTGAGGATGATGATGGAAGCTCCGAGGACAATGGATGCTCCGAGGTGGATGCTGATGTGATGCCCCGAGGACAGCACAATGCTCCAGGCCAGAAGCTCCCACCCCTCTCCGTGCATGTCCAGCAGCTCCCTGTGCCCACGGCCCCGCTGCCAGGCAGGACCCAGCGTGCCCGGAGCGTCCGTGCCCACCAAACACCCCCCAATAAACACACTGTGACCCCCAGCCCTGCCCGTGTGTCCTTCCAGCCACGGCGTGCCCACCCTATCCTGCATTCTGCGGCACCAGCGAGCAGGAATTCCTCATTTCAGGATGCTCCAGGCCCCACACACTGGGTTTTTTCCAGCAGAAACCTCGGCCCACGGTGCAGGTGGGAAGCAGGAGGTGTTTCCTCAGGGAGGGGAGTCCCCGCTGGACTGGTTTTCCAAGGGGAGCTCTTCCCTGGCTCCCAGGTGTATAAATATGCATGTGAAAAACCACCAATTAAATATCAAATAAAGATCCTCTCGCAGGTAACAGGCACCTCCGGGGCACGGATGGGTTTGGGGAGCAGGATGGCTTCTCCCAGGGCATTGCCACGTGTCCCTGCCTCAGTTTCTCTGGCAGAAAAAAGCAGATTTGAAAGGACAGGGAAGGTTCTGGTGCTTCCATGGAGGCCATGACGGGGATGGGAAATTTGGGAAAGCCTGGATCAGTCTTTGGGCTACAGTGCCAAGGGGGAGGTGGCCCAGAGAGGCGATTCAAGCAGCTTTTATTTTCCTCAGGACCATCTTTCAGGGCTCCACTGCGGTGGAGTGTTCTGCATCATCCATCAGAGCACCAAGAAAAATCGCGTCCCTTCCAGACCAAAAAAATTATTCTTTAACATCAGTCAAAGAAGCTCTCCCATCCCTTCCCTACCTGTTAACTGCTTTAAAAATTGTAAGTTTAAATATAGAAATATATATATATGAGAAATAACTTTTATGTCTTAAGGAATATTTAATATTTGTTTTACATCCATATACATGGTATTAACATATTAACATTCGATATATTAATATAATACTATTCAATACATTA